AGCTCAGGCTTATTAATAATTAGCTCTTACTTTTAAGTCTACCCATTTCTATTAATCCATGTATTGCCACGTGGTTCCTGTCTTTACTTGTCCTCTAGCATTTTGCTTCCCTAGTGGCTGGCTCGTCTCTCCTGATTCTGCCCTTCTTCATCTGAGTCCTCAGATTGATTGTCCTGCCTAACTGTATCCTGTTCAACATAGGCTAAACATCTTTTTTATTAACCAATGAGAGTAAATACATATTCACAGTGTACAGAAGGATTATCCAACAGCATTTTTACACATGAAATAAACAACAGTAACCTCTAGAAATGATTTACCTTACTTCTAGCTCTTCTAAAGGATGTGATGTCTCTACCCCTCTTTACTGTTCCTGTCTCCTACATCAGGCCTCTCCCCAAAATGTGTTTTGTCTTATGCCCAACGCAGACCCAGTACACACCTGAAATAGAGGGATTCCCTGAGCCCTAGATCCAAACTCACTATTTTACAAGAGTTCAGCAATATTTCACAGGCAGGTCAAACAGAAGCCCCATCTGTAGGAATCCCCAACAGGCAGGCAGGGGGCCTCATGGTGTCTACAAGTCTTTGGTGGCCAGGACACCCTTGAGTCCATGGGCTCTGGTACAGAAAGGGATTCAGGGTCCCTAACTGTCACCTGAGTTCACAGGATCAGAATACAAGCTCCCTAAGGGCCTGTCCTCACTGTCCCCTCAGGACTTGTTTTCCCTCCATGCCCCTCCCCCACTTCTCATCAAGCTGCTTCCTGCACCAGCACCCAGTTTTGCTTGTGCTATCTGTGTCTGCTTCTAACAGCTGGCCCCAGCCTGGCAGCCCCTAGCTCAGGGGATTATCCAATTATCCCATTAGCCCAGCATGCCCTTCCTTCCTCTGAGCTCTTAGCTCTCCCTTTCCCAGGGCGTCTCATAGCCTCCTTACTGTTTCCTTAGCCAGTCCTGAAGCTGAGTCAATCCCCAGTCATAGGGACACAAACTCATCTATCTGCTTCACTGTGCAAGGAAGGAACGGTCCTCTCAAAACCAGAGTCACGTGACCAGTTAATGGCTGAGGAGGGTAACACCTAGACCTCTTGACATCATGGCTGTGCCTTCTGCTTTCTCTCCACGTGAGTGACATGTCTCATCAAGTGCTCCTTAGGGCAGCCCCTTGGATGGAGGAGACACTAACATTACTAAATGAGCCAAGAACCACAGAAGAGCTGCAGAACTATGGGTGTTGTAGGCATCATGACAGTGACTGAAGTGAAGCCATAAGAAAAGCACTCACAGGACCTAACGATAGAGGGACTGGCAGCTTCTATATCAGCAACAACTCATAATGCTGAAACCAGGAGTTGGGGAAGAGGCAGACACACGACGTATCCCAGTTAGCTCACTGCCTACTTGTCGTCAGAAAAGGAGTGTTTGCACCAATCGCAGTAGGCTTTTATTCAAAGAAAGGGCTATGTTTAAGCCAATCACTGTTATTTGCCCCTTTTGCACCAGTCACAAGGGTCCTGCTAGTCCACCAGGGGAAATGAACTTCTGTTCAGGGTGGAAAAGGCTTCTGGACATGTCTAGTCACTGGGACTTGAGATGACAAAAGGTACAGTTTCGTCAAGCCCTCTGGGCTGGCATATGGGGACATCTGGTTGGCTGATTGGACCTTGCACAAGGCAGCCAGGACCCCAGGGAAATACAGCTGTCAACTGGGGAGTCAAACCACCCTCCCCTTCAATATCTTTGCTCATTTTAAGGATAAAAGACTTCTCTATAAGTGATTTATAACAGTGCTTTGTAAAAACAGGACTCGCATTCTTCCTGATCTTTTGGTTTCTGGAATGTGTGTTGTTGAGGTGCAGCTCTGTGGCAGGCCACCTGTGCTTTTGCTTTTACCATTCATTGATTGATTTCTTTCATTTTTTATTTTATTAAGACTTGTTTTAGGGGCTGTAACTCAGTTGGAAGACGTAGCTTACCTGGAATGTAGGAAGCCCCTGGTTCAATCCCAGCACCATAAAGATTTCTTGTTGCATACGAACTACTTTGGGGGGGGGTTGCTGTTTTGTTGTTTGTGCAGTATAATTTGGCCAATGTAACTCTACCACAGACACCAACAGTTAAGTTGCTGGGCAAGTGTTACGATAAATCTTTCTGCCAAAAGCCACAGAGCCCCACCACCATGTATGAGCTTTACGCCAGCTGCCCACCTGAGTTAGGTCCAAATGAATACACAGAGAGACTTGTATTAGGTACAATGCTGCTTGGCCAATGACTAGGATTCTCATCTGTTAGCTCAGTTTTAATTATCATAAACCTATATATTTTATAAGACTTATCTTATCAGACGCCTTATTGGCATCCCTCCTTGCCGGTGGATCATATCCTGCCGCTGGAGGACGCGAAGGGGAAAGGAGAGACACTTCCTGTTTCTCCTTCTTTAAATATGAGTCTCCTTGTTATGTCACTTCCTGCCTGGATTGCCACTTCTCTACTACATTTCCCAGAATCCTCTTTGACTCCTAGCCCTGTCTAACTTGCTGTCTCATTGGCCAAAGAGTATTTTGTTTAACAATCAATAAGATAAACATACACAGAAGTACTTCCCCATCAGGCAAGAGCTTTACTTCTGTGGCACAGCTGCTTAACAGAAATAGGACCATGGGTCTGACTCCCCAGCATCAAAATAAAGGAATCTGTAGTCTGGGAGAAAGCTGCTTGCTAGACAGAACCTCAGTGTCTGTGATGTAAGGTGGGAACCGAGGGTCAAAAGTCTTCATCCAAGATGATACAGGCACCTGCAGGGCTACAGGTGATGGACACTTGATCAAGGCCATTCTTGCCCGAGAGTCTGCTTGGTGACATCAGCCATGGTCACATAAAATCTCATTCAACAAATGTTTACTAGGCATCTACATATTCCAGGCATGAGCCCAGCCCCGAAGCTCCACCTCCGCAGGGTCTGCCTCCCTGAAGACAGGCCTGACTATTCTTTTCCAGACAATGACAGGGGTGGATAATCAAATAATGACTGGCGTCTCAACTCAGCATTTCTGAGTCTTACAGGCTTCTTTCAGAAACCACAGGCACACTGGTAATGGATGCTGAAGGGCCATAGCAGAAAGTCACCACATCTACAGAGACGATCTAACACATACCGAGGTCCAAGGGCCGCTGTTCCTGCAGCACAGGAGGGTTACGGATGACAACACAATCATGGTCAGGCAGCTCCACTGGACTTTGTCATCCATCCTAGGGACACCTATCCCCAACATGGGCTTGTTCATGTAATTTAGCTACTGAGCATCAAGGTTGCCTTCTCTGATGAGGAACAGGAAGGGTGGGGCTACAAAGCACCGCCTCCCATCCCTGACTCTGAGACAGTCTGAGGCTCAGCGCTTGCTGTACCCTTGAGCTACACCTTCTGCACCTGGGGTTGGTATAAGGGGCACAGCCCACACAGGCACTGCACTGACAACTGCCAAGGGGCTTCACAGAGCATCCAGTCTCTCTCTCATCACCATGCTAAAACCTAAAGCAGGATAGCCACTCGACTCCATTATACCAGCACACAGGCAGAGAATTGAGTGACCTAATTGTAAGTCAGGGTCAACCACTGAGGTGGGAACCAAAAGAAAATGAACAGAAACAAAAGACGGAAGAGACTTGGTAGAAGGCATTTTCAGATGTGACGATGGGACTGGTTAGGCAAGCCTGAGACCCACAGGGAAGGCCATCAGGAAGGGCAGGCTGGGACTCTCGGGCACTGGCTGGTGACCTGCCCCACCCTCATATAGATGCTTATGGTAGCATCCATCATATAATGGGCAACCACTTCTTTTTTTTCCCATAGGAAAGAGTGTCATTAATGTCTTTAAACCAAGTCAAATGAATAGATCCAGAAACCCAGAACCAAAGAGGAAAACTCATCCTTAAGATTCTGTTCTTAGCCAAGCAGTGGTGGCACAGGCCTTTAAGCCCAGCACTTGGGAGGCAGAGGTAGGTGGATTTCTGTGAGTTCGAGACCAGCCTGGTCTACAAGAGCTAGTTCCAGGACAGCCTCCAAAGCCACAGAGAAACCCTGTTTTGACTCCCCCTCCAAAAGCTTCTGTTCTTTAGGATAGCTTTTGTCATCAAAGTCTATATTAGTTAGACACAGTCAGAAGTAGGACTCATAGGCTATATGTTAGGAGACGTTATGATGTAAAGGAAGCAATTGTGGGGCAGGGACTGCTGTCAGGGAGGCAGATTGAACCTCTCACCCAGGGCTGGAGCTACTGTCTAAATACAATCCCTTCCTCTCCACAGAAATCTCAAGAAAGTTCTTTAGCACTGTAAACAGATTGCATGTGGTCCACCTTGGTTTTATGGCATGATCTCACTCAGTCAATAGGCTATAAACTTTAATTGCACTTGTAAGATACCTTAACACAATGCTGGACATGGTGGCACATTCCTGTAGTCCTAGCTACCCGGAAGGCTATGACAGGATGATGGGTTGAACCTTAGAGTTCAAGACCAGCCAGGGAAATACAATGAGACCGTGCCTCCCACATCAAACTCTTTAAATACCCTAGGTTTGTGCCTGCCTGAAGAACTGGGCTATAGCTGAGTTGACTCAGGCATCCTAAGGGCAGCCCACCTGTTCACAGTCACACTGTACTCTCTGTGGCTCTCATCTGCCCTTACCCTTTTCCTATAGCCCACAGTTTCCCAAACTGACCCTCGAGGAGCTGATGGAACCTTGAGACTGGACCAGGAGGAGAGGAGAATGACAACAGGTAGATGCAGAGAAGATTCGGAACAGAACTCAGCCTGAGGTCTGCCTGGTCTGGGTGGTGTCTCATAGACACGGATGGAGAGTAGAGGTGGAAAGTTGGGGAGTCCCTCTAAGCCGCTACCTCCCGATCCTTTCAATGGCCTGGATATGAGCTCACAGCACCTGGGAATTTCTTAGACTGAGGTAGAATTTGCATAGCACAAAACAAAACACTTCCAAAGTATGCGATCTAGTTATATTTAATACATTTCAAAGTTATTGAATCATCTTCTGAATCCCAAAACATTTCCAAATCCCCAGAAGAAACCCATGTATTCAATGTTAGCAGTTATCCCTCACACACGTGCCGGTTCTACCCTCCCTCTGCCTGAGTATTGAACGCCACTCCCACCCAATCCCTGGATACATTTTAAAAGTTAGCACTTAACTAGAGCTAGGGGCTGGAAGCAGGTCTTCCTTCACAATGTTGGGACGGTAGTTGGGTTTAACTGCTTCAGCAAGTTCCCGGGCATACATCTCAAGTCGGCCTGTCATCTGAAAACAAAACACACAAACTTGGGAAGATTTAAAACTCTATTCCTCGATTGCCACCACCTCTCGCCACTAGGGGGCAGCCACGGGGCAGAAAATAATCCATTATGCTGATTGACAGGGCTATTTCAGACAGCAATAAAGACAAGCAATTGCATTATGACCTCTTCGTGGATGCCAGTGAAGTTGAAGGATGCCAGATGACTCACACAGCCCAGCCCACTTGACTGTGACCCTCTTGGTCCGGGAGGTGTGATCAGGTCTGAGGCAGGGTGGAGAAGGGTCTAAAGAGAAACCACTCTGCTTGTTACTCCTGGAGATGCTTGGTAAAAAGAGCTGGCCACATTGGTGGCTCCAGCTTCTGACTGAAGTGAAATCCTGCATTAACCTCAGCTGCCCAACAAGAGGACAGGGAGGTCAGAAGATCTTCTCACGGGCAGTACCTCGTCTGTCCAACGAGAATCTGAGTCTCTGGAATATAACCAAGGACTCACACTCAGGTCAAGTCAAGGAATAGAGTCCAGAGTCTGCATCTGGGCTCCTCCAGTCACACTTGGCAAAGCCACCCAGTCACACAGAGTGGGACATGAATTTTCTCTGTCTGTGAATTGCTGGAGGCCAGTGTAGCAAACCTTGCAGTCAGGAGCCCTTCCAGGGATCCTGGCCTTGGCCACCACTGTGTCATCCCAGTGTGGCAGGCACCTGCTCTCTCACACTGCTGACACCACAGGCAGCATTTGAAACTGTTCCTAAGGCTTAGGGACAGAAGATGTTTGCCCCAAAGGAATCCAGTAAGGTGGAGTCAGAGCTAGGCAGAGATCCAGTTTTTCCATGTGACCCGATTCCCACTATTGTCTCAACGCCTAGACTGTGGAGCCTGGCCGCAGGCAGAACCAGACATGCACATTTATCTTGTGACAAGTGCAAATGCCTGGAAAGAAACAAAAATGGCTTACGGAAGCCAACCCACTGTTTTCTCTAGACAAATGAAATTGAGATTAATTTGTGTGAAGACGCCTAGGATCTAAATCAAACGCAAGGAGGATTTATTGATACCTCTGCTGGTACATCATTCCACCCAGTGATTCCTCCCCACAGCCAGCAGAGTCCTGGCCCTCTGCTCAGAAAAGAGCTTCGTAGTGGGGAGTTGGTGCCTCCTTCCAAGGGCCTGTCAGAGCAGACCTGGCCTCTGAAGTTCCTGCAGCCTCAGACTGGATGGGGGCCAAAGCAGAGTAGCAGAGAGACAGAAGGGGACTTGGGTACCCACCTTGAAAGTCCAGAAATCATTAATCTGCTGGCAGAGGTTGAGGTTGAGCTCAGTGACCAGCAACCCGTCTTGATTGCGTGAGAGACCAGGGGTCCGGCTGCCATCAGGAGCCGCCACATAGCTCGAACCGTAAAAGTAGCCAAGGTCATGATGTGCTTTAGAAACCAAAGGGAAGCAGCCATGAGTCTATATACACAGTGTGGACTAGGAAGAGGGGCAGGCACACGGCAGGACATCTGAGAGAAAGCAGCCCCGTGTGCCACCCCTGTGTCTGCCGAATGCCACTCTCCCTCTTCGTGCCTAAAGGCCTCAGAGAAGGTGGCAGAGCTTTGCTTTCACATTGCTCTCCCCTGCCCTGAGAACACCTCAGCGCCACCACAGCTGAGTGAGGTGGCCCCTCTGAGACAGGTTCCAGAACCTCCTTTCCCATGTCTCTCTCTGTCCATCATCAGGACACGTCTGAGATCAGAACCTCTACAAGTTTGGAGTGCCACGTGGGACTTCAGACAGAGGGATCTCAGAAACAGTTCTCTTTATCCTCTTGTATCTTTCTGAGGGAGACCCACTGAGTCAGGTGTAACACCCTCTTGGTAAATGAAGTGGCGTTTCCCTCACACTCTTGGCTAGAGAGGCCGGACCTCAGGGTGGAGGATTTCTAGCAGCGGTGGGTTAGTAGTGGCCTTCAGATCACAACCACCTGAGGACCCCAGAACCTATGACAATCTGTGCTGACTCAGGGGACATCATCAGTACGGTTTGGTAGGTGGGGAAGAAAGAAAGAAGATGGGGACCCATGTCAGAGTCCCCCTCCCCCTTCTAGAGAGCCCACAAGGGCCCACATAAGTCCTGGGGAGGCAGCGAGACCAGTCTCATTCCCATCTGATCCTCATTTGGAGAACAAGGTGGCCACCAATGAGGATCCACACCCCAGCCATGGTCTCCCAAACTACCCACAAGGAAGCAGAGGAGAGTCAGTGTTCCTTCCCAGGCACAGGCTGTGGAGCAGACCCCACCCAGAGGAAGTAGGTGGAGCAGGGGGAGATGAGGCCCAGCAAAGGGAAAGTTCATGAACATACCTTTCTTTCCATCTCCAGAAGTGAACTCATTGGGGTAGTGTTCCTGTGAATTAAGTGTGAGGCTAAGATGAACCTCTTGGTGGCAGCACCAGGACAGTCATTCCCAGCCAGAACAAGAGCAGCAAGGGCCCATGCAGGAAACAGTTTAAGGGAGGCTTGGGTCTGCACTCACTGGGCAATCAGCAAGCATTTGGTAAATGTTCAGCAGGTCAGAACTGTGCCTTGGGAAGCCAACAAGGAACGTGACAGGCAAGGCAAGACCTGGATTTTGTATTTGGGTTTATAATCCTGGAGCAGGAAATCACTAGGTACCTGCAGTTCTCAGGGCTGGGCAATGTATGTGAGGTCAGCCTGCCTGCTGAAATAACACCCCACGTTGTATAAGAAAGAGAAGAGGAGAGAGGAAAGGAAAGAAAGGGGAGAGGAGAAGAGGGGAGATGAGAGGCAAGAGGAGAGGAGGGAAGGGGGGGTGAGGAGAGGGGAGGGGAGGGGAGGAGAGGACAGGAGAAATTAGAAGAGGCCAAAAAAAAAAAAAAAAAAAAAAAAAAGAAGAAAGATCAAGCCATTTCCTCTTGGGACCCTAAACTCTGTGGCATGTATGCAGAGGGAGCAAGAAGACAGGTGAAGTGTCCCATCCAAGGCAGCAGTCAGTGACCCCTTTCCTTAACTATCCCTCAGACACATACCTGACCCACACGGTTAATAGCACAAGTGAAGCAGTGATTGGCAATGGCTGCGTTCCTGGCTTCGATTGGCCACAGGGACTCACTGTGAGAGGGTGAGGAAGAGAAAGCAGATTGGAGCCTTCTGGGCCATTCCATAGATGTTCAGCTCTAAGACGCAGCCTGGCTGTGAGCAGAGCTGGGCACGGCACCAATTTAGCACTCAGAAAGCTGAGGCAAGAGGTCTGTGAGTTAGACACCAGCCCAGGTGACACAGTGAGGACGAGGCCTGTCTGAACTAACTGGGACACGTCTGAAAACGGTCCTACAAGCCGATCATCTTGTCAGCACCCTGGATAACCAATAGCAGCTTCCCAGGGAAAGCCAGCTAAAGGCAGAATCCATACTGCCATAGTCTACTGGGGTTCAGACAGCCTTTATCCTCAGTCTCAGTCACCCCCAAAACATTGGAGTGAAACGATGTAGCTTGATGGTCATGAAGACGAAGTTCCACGCCATGGTTGTTTTGTAACTGTCATTATCCTTCCCAGGGAAGCCATCTTCTATGCTGAACTGAAGGCTGGGACATATCAGAGAAGAGCTATGGGTTTAGGGAGCTAATGCATGGTCCCTGGGCATGGGCTTGGAAATTGTGACACAGCAGAGGCATTTGCCTAACACTGTACTTAAAAAAAAGAAAGGACAACCAACAACTTATATAAATAATTATGTTACTTTAAGAAAATTTCCTAGAATCCCACCGGCTTAATAATAAACTAGTTGCTATCATTTTTCTATCCTCTGTGACTACCCTTGCCCATAGACCAAAAAAAAAAAAAAAAAAAAAAAAGGCACAGAATTCTGACCACACATAGTAGGGGCACACATCTCTTGTTCTCATTGTTCATAGTTTTTTTTTTTTTTATTACCATGTTGCTCTATCTTCATAATGGCTCATTTTAGTGTCACTTAACCCATAGAGGAAATAGGTTGAAATTGAATTAACCCTGCCATTTCTGTTGCTGCCAGCTGCTGTGTTATGAATACCGTCACCACCACTACTAACATCACCTCCTCAGGCTACAACCCCACAAGTACCATTAACTGATAAGGGGCACGGACTCGTGCCGTTTAGTTCATCCTGTGAAGCACACTGCTCTCAAAGAAACCAGTACAGCATTGCCAGCTCGTCAGCTCCTGAAGGCTGGGCAATTCTTAGCCAAGGAAGGAAAAACCAATCATTTCTTTCAATAAGGCTGCTGTGGACGTAAGAAGTTATGTGCGGATTACGTTGAGTTACTTCTGTTTGCTTAATCAGAGCTAAGAAACGTTCAAGATAACAGGTTTGGGAGGGCCTTTGCATACATGATGTGAGGTAACTCTCTGGGTTTGCCTAGAAGCTGGCTCACACCCCTGTGCCCAGGAAGTAGACTTCGGGTTCCTCTAGGGAAGGCTGAGGGGAAGATGGAGTTCCCCAGATGTGTTTTACATTTTTGTTACACTCTATTGATTTATGTTTTATGTCTGAATTTGGAGGTGAGAGTATGACTTGTGGGAGTTGCTCCTCTCCTTCTGCCATGTGGGGCCTGGGAACTGAACTCAGGTCATCAGGCTTGGTGGCACATGCCTCTACCCTATAAGCCATTTTTTCACTCCCTTTCCAAAAGTCAGCACCTAACCCTATCCCCTCTGCCCCACTTCTACATGGCTGTATGAGGAGGCCCCAAAGTTCCGCTAAGACTTGGTGGATGGGTGACTGACTAATGAGCATCTTGCCTTTCAACTGACAATGGACAATTGGCTGCGTTCAAAGCTCCAGGGGACGTATTTTCAGAATGGAAACCCTGAGGCAAGATCCAAACTATGCTCTCCCGTCTTCCTGCCCCAAAGCAGCCCTCCTAGACCCAGACAACACCTCCACATGCACCCAACACCAGCAACTGGACAACTGAATTCTAGATCTGTTAGGGGCCTGCTGTGAAGATTCTGAACGTGGTGGGATGTTATTCAAAAAGCAAGCCTAGTGCTTCAACTTGAAAGTAAATTAAATGTTGCATCTGACATTTAGAAGACACTGGCTATAAATCCATTGAGAGTAGAAAGCTTTTCCCATGACCCCAACCCTATTGGGACAGAACACAGACATCGTAGCCACAGAACAGAAGCCAGCACTTCCTGCAGTACCCATCCTTCATGCTTTGGAGGAAGGCAGTTTTGCACATAAATTCCTAGAACTCTTTTAACTTGTAAGGCTACTTTGGAATTGCCTAGGAGATACACTTCTGAGAATGTATGCCAGGGTATTTCCAGAGAAGCTTAACTGAGGAGTGTCCCACCCTTATGCAAACTTGGGTGGTACCAGCCATGGGCTAAGGCCCTAGAATGAGTTAAAAGGAGGAAGGAAGAATCTGGCTGAGCAGCAGTGTTCATCTCTGCCTCCTCCCTGCAACATCACTCTCCTACTGTCATGTTTTTCCATCCAGGGGATGAACTGCAAAACCACTTGCTTTCAAAATAAACCCCTTTTCCTTTTAATTACTTCTTGCCTGACTTTCAGTTCTGATGACAAGAAAAGTATTCAGATAATTGATATTGGAAGTGGGGCCGTTGCTTTGAGAAACCTGACTATATATAGTTCATAGGTCTTTGGAGGGAATGCTGAAGTTTGGAACTGTGGACCAGAGATGCCATAGAATGTACTAAGGAGAGTTAATGGGCCATTTTGGTCAGCATTTAAAAGGCCTGAATGCTAATATAAACTCAGGTGGTTAAGACTCCGTTCATTTTTCTAGTTTCTAGTAAGGGAGAACACGATTCTATCAGGAAGTAGGGTAGACACCATTCATTTTAGATTCTGGCAAAGAACGAGGTTATATTTATGCCAACATACTTTAGCTGGAATCTTGAACAAAGCTGAATTCAAAATGAATTTGTCTGGTCAAGGAAATTTCAAGATAGCAGAACATTCAAGCTTTGGCATGGCTAATCCTCTCTGCTCTTATCCATGTTTCTGGTGAGAGAAAAATAGAATGTGTGAGGAAAGGAGGGGAGGAATAAAGGAGACAAGGGTGTCTTGAGAGCAGAATCCAGCTTGTAAAAATCAAATTTATTTGAAAGGAAAGAGACTAAATTGAGAATGCCCCAGGAAAGGGTTCTCTGCTGGAAAACCACGACTTTGGGGGAGTGTTCCTCCAGAACCAGGCACCCACTGTGGCTGTAGTAGAATATACAGGCTATGTCTCAAGCTAGCAACAGAATTTGGCAGCATTGTTTGTATGATACTGGCTTCTCAGGTATGCAAATGCAAGAGTTATAGGGCCACGGTGTCTTATATCAAGATTCCAGAAAGTCATGGAAGCCAGGCAGTGTGTACCAGGGTCAAATTTCTTGCAATGGGGCCCTTAAAGGCCAATGAATAAAGCTATGAAACCTAAGTTGCTACGGAGACCCCAGGACACTGGAGATGTGTGGGCTGTGGGACATCAACTGAAGAAATCTGCTGGCAGGGTAAGGAGCTGGCCTAAGAGAGAGGCGACATGGTCTGCCTGGGGCAGAGCTAAAGGGGTGGGCCTACTCAAGACTGCAGGAGCCCAGGTGATGCCATCAAGAGCCTCAGAAGCCAGACACAGAGCTTCAAGACTTGGTGTTTTCTTCTGCTGGACCCCAGTCTTGCTTGGTCTTATCTTTCCTTGTTATGGTCCCTTTTAAAATCAGAGTGTTTGCTCTGTGTCATTGTATATTGGAATTGTGACCACCCCCACTCCACTCCCACCCCCACGGAGATTCACAGATTTCCTTGAGTCTCAAAAGAGACTCTGGGTTTCTGAACAATGCTGGAACTGTTAAGACAACAGAAGACTGGCCGGGAGTTGGTGGCGCACGCTTTTAATCCCAGCACTCGGGAGGCAGAGGCAGGCGGATCTCTGTGAGCTCGAGGCCAGCCAGGTCTCCAGAGCGAGCGCCAGGAAAGCCAGCCAAGCTACATAGAGAAACCCTGTCTCGAAAAACCAAAAAAAAAAAAAAAAAAAAAAAAAAAAATCATGTGTTTGAGTGTCAAGTACAAAGTGGATTTATGATGGTTAATCTACATTGTGAACTTGACAGGATTTGGAATCACTTCCGAGACATTCTCTTGGTGAGTCTTTGAAAGCACCTCCATAGACATTTAAAAGAGGAAAAAACGACCCACCCTAAACCCTAAACCTTGTCAGCAGCAGGGGCCCTGGACTAAATAAAAACTGGGAAACGAGAAAACCAGGTGAGTACCCACACTGATGCCCCTTTGCTTCCTGACTGCAGATGCAAAATGTGACCAACTGGCCACCTCACACTCCTCCTACCCTCCCCATGATGGCCTACACCTTCATGCTATGAGCCAAAATAAACCCTCCCTTCTTTGAGTTTTATTAGCCATTCATTGATAGCTACAGAAAAGTGACAAACAGACCTGTAACTCTCCCAACGCTTAGCCAAAGTGGAAAGCAGAAGTGGCACAAACACAGCCATGTTGCTTATCTCAGCCTACTCCCCACCCTACAAGTCCCGCCCACATGCTCACCTACACCTCAGCGACACCACAACACAGCTTTACCTGTATTGGAGGTGAAGCTGGTACTCCAACACTTCCCATTACATATTATTAAAGGGAACCTTTTCACTGGTTAAATCAAGTCTCTCGGATTATCCCCTGTTTCTGTGCTAGCGTTACTTCCTCTGTACCACTCCTCTGGAGGACTGCCCTTCGTACTGGGCACTGCAGAGTTGAGGCTCAGGATTCTGAAGACACGGACCAGAGGTCACTCATGCTGGCCAGGCTTTGAGATTCCTGAGCATCATGCAGGAGGGTGGGAATATTCTCTTTATCCCAATGCTCAGAATCCCAGCAAAGGTTGCTGCCAATTGGAGGTCAGATTTTGTCATAGTCATGTTGGGCATTTCTTTTTTTTCCTCCACAGAAAAACTGATTAAATGTGCAATATCCAGTCACAGGGCTTCGGTCTAGACATCCCAATGACTGTACCTGTTTCTTCTAGTTTACCAAACCCATGTCTGAACCCCACAGGTTGACCCTGGGCCTGAGGTGGTGAATGAAGCCCAGGAAGCCCCCTAGAGCTTTCCCATCAAGTGACCTGAGTTCGCCAATGGTGGCTGAGGGATTGAAGATGATCTCTGCTCCATTGATACTGTACATGAGCCAGTTGAGGGGGTGGTGCCGTCCGTAGCAAATGTTCACTGCAATCCTGCCAAACTGCGTCTGGAACACGGGGTGGCCCAGGTTTCCCTCCATGTAGTAAGTTGACTGAAAAGCACAAAGAGCTATATGTTGGTGCCTCAGAGCTGAAATAGTTCTGCTTCCCCTAGTCTCAGCAGAAGGGAATTATCACCAGTAGTCTAAAATTAGCATTGGGGTGTGACTCTATTTTAAGTTCCAGAATTGCAGTGTTAAAACACATACACAAAACCCAGACACAATAGCAGAGCAGCCCCAAGGGGAAAACACAAAGGCCTAGTATTTAACCCACGGTCTGCTTTGTGGTGTATCACATGATTTCCAGGATAACCTATGGTAAGTTTTCAAATCGTGACACAAGAAAAGGTTGTGGTTAGGTCAATGTTAACATGAGTTACCAACCACACATCCTTGATGCAGACTGCTAGAGGTGAGAACACTCAGACCCACCCACAGCAACTTTTCCTTTTTGGAAACTATATGTCACTTGAATCGGTTTGGGACTTTCCCAATTGACTAAGCCCAAATCTGAGAGTAAAACACACACTCTCCACATAGCAGCCTGGGCATCCTGCCTAGGGTTCCCTGTAGGACAAGCAAATGGGGACCTCATTCTCCCACCTCCTCTTCCCTGCCTGAGCTGTGAGGCTGCCACTTCCAGGACCTGATGGGATATAGCTGAAGAGAGGCTGGAGGGCAGTTCTGCTCCCAGAGCTTTTAGCTTTCTATCACTGATTTCAAAACCAGCCAGGTTCAACAGCAACCAGGATATGTACACATCGTGGACCCTGAGCTGAACTCAGGCCCGGCCGGGTGTCTGCAGGGAGCTAACGATTAACCCAGGGGTAAACAGTTGAGGAGGCATCTGCCCCGCTCCACCTCGAGCTGCTACTTAGAAACACCAGCTCTTCTGTCTCCCCTTGTTGACCAGTCTGAGAGCAGCCTAAATCCCCAAACCAAAGATGCAATGTGGGGACTAAGGATGGGCTGGCACATCCCAAACTATTGGTCCTCTTGAGACGTCAAGTTCAAATTCAGATTTAGTATCCTGGCACTAAGTAGAGTTCATTTTCCTCTTTCAAATGCCCTCCCCTGCCACCCCACATCTTGTGAATTGGCATTTACCAATCAAAACAGCCCCTCTCCCAGAATTCTCATCACCTGTGAGCCTCTGGAGTCCTGTGCAACCACCATTGTACACAGACACGTTCAAAGACACCTGGACATGAGTCAGCTGAGATGCCACGTAAGTCATAAAGAACAGCACCCACTAAAACTAGGATCACATCCCGGTTTCCTAGGAGCTCAGAGCCCCTTTACAAGGGCTTCTAGGCATAATCTCATATCTATGCACTATTGTATTTGCATTTTAGTCTATAAACCAATTACCTCAAGGGAGCATCGCAAAAGTCAAATCAAGTTCCGTTCCTGCACACAAATCTGACGTATGTATAAGTCCCATGCTGCTAAAAGTTTTTGTGACTCTAAGAGTCTTGTGTCCACGCAATGCAGGGCAATGTTATCAGACTCTGCAGATACTACAACAATACTACCCTGCAGCATCACACGTCACAGCCTCCCATACTGAACTTCTCCCCGAGGAAAGCCCTCTGAGCTCTAATTAGCACACACCTCATTGAAGTCACCCACTCTGGGGATGTGGTTCTTCCTGGTCTTTCCCATGACCAGTCCTGAATTGGAGATCACCACAGCTGTGTTCCACAGGACTCCCCCGTGATCTCGATCTCGTTCCAAAATCGGAGACACCACCACCATGTTGTGCCTCTTTGCCAGCTGGGGAATTGAAAAACCATTTAGTTCCTCTTTCAGGTAAATTATTACATTTTTTTTAAACTGGAGAAGAATTTAACAATGTTCCTAAATAAAGTACTATGAGTCAGTGTTGTCTTGATGCCTATAACTGGTTATGTAAGAATAACCACACACCTTTAATTCTAACATTCAAGAGGCCAGCCTGGTCTATACAATGAGTTCTAGGCCAGCCAGGACTACATAGTGAGACCCTGTGGGGAGAGGGAGGGAAGGAGGGAGGGAGGAAGGGAGAGAGGGAGGGAGGGAAACTGGGAGAGAAGGGGAGAGAGAGTTGTGTTAGAGAGAGACACACAGAGAGGAAGAGAGAGAGAAGGGGAGAGAGAGAGAGAGAGAGAGAGAGAGAGAGAGAGAGAATGAATATGAATATAAATAATCACCCTTGTGCAATGCCAGGATGAAAGCATGAAGAGATATAGGCACTCTAGGAAAACATGATTGTTCTTTAATGTTAAACAAAGAACTATGACACAATACCACTTGCACATATATATCCAAAAGACCGAGAAAGCAGGCACCCAGTGAGACAGGTCTGTGTAACGATGGCCCCATAGTCAGAGACACACTATTTGTTATCATTTAGAGTCAAGAGGTAGAAGCAGCTTTACTGTCCGTCATCAGATGAAGGGCTGAACAAAATGTGGCATGCAAAGACAATGAGATTTTATCCACCCATGTAATCCAAGGAATTCCTATCACATGCTGTCAGACTGATGATCCTTGAGGGCATTGTGCTAAATGACATCATCCTGTTAAAGTACAATACCTAATTTTTACCTATAAAGGAGCCCTGGAATAAGGAAATTCTCCACAGCCATAGAAAGTAGAATGTGCTTCTCAGGGGTGCAGGGGAGAGAGACCAGGAGACTCTCTAATGAACACAGTGTTTTAAATTCCTGATTCGAGAGTTCTGATGGGGACAGTAGACACATAGGCAAAAGCATGACAGATAGCAAGCTTTACATTCTTCATACAATAAAAAAAATTAATTGGATTCTTAAGCTACCAAAACCAAGGAAAGGACACACAAGTTGGAAGAGGCCACATTGTAGGGTGTGGTGATTTGAATAGGTACAGCCCCCACAGACTCGCGTGTTTGAATGCTTGGCCTATAGGGAGTGATGCTACTAGGAGGTGTGGCCTTGTTGGAGGAAGTGTGTCACTGTGGGGTGAGCTTTGAGGTCTCATATGCTTAAGCTATACCCAGTGTGGGATTCAGTTCTCTTCCTGTTGCCCGTGGATCAAGATGAAGAACTCTCAGCTACCTCTCCAGCACCATGTCTGCCTACATGGTACCTTGCTTCCTGCTATGATGATAATGAACTAAACCTCTGAAACTGTGAGTGAGTCCCAATTACATGTTTTCCTTTGTAAGTATTGCTGTGGCTATGGTGCACAGGATTGGAAATGCAGACTAAGACAGGGGGTATCCTGTAGGGTAGGAGGGGAAGCTTGGAGATGCATGGGATCAAGATACATTGCAGGCATGTATTAAATTGTCAAAGAATAAATGAAAGATACTTAAAATAAAATGGAGTCAGGTATGGTAGTTCATACCTATAATCCTAGCACTTGATAGGCTGGGGTAAAAAAAAAATATGAATTTGAGACTAGGTTGGGTAATATAGTGAGTTCCAGGCTACTAAACCTAGAGTCATCTAGGTTTCGAGATGTCTCAAAAAGATTTGTGATGTATTATCATTATTCTTCTCATCCCTACCAAGAGACCTTGCCACATAGCCTGTTTTGTGCTCTTATAACAGAATAGCAGAGATCAGGCAACTCATAGAGAACAGAGATTTGTCCTTGGAGTCCTGGACCTGAGGAAGTCAAGCATGCAGCAACCAGCCACGGATGGACCTCTGTGCGTAATCCTCCCAGAGTAGAGGGGAGAGAGGAAGAAGAGACTGACCTTGCTTTATTAACAGAAAAACACTCTGGAGTTACTGATGCAAATCCACTCACAGTGGCTTAATCCCCACAACCCAACCACCTCTGTAAGATGCTGCCTCAGAATCTAAGATGCTTCTTACACTCTTATTTCTAACATAATACATATTCCTAACCCATCAACTTTGGGGAACACATTCAAGCCATAGCAGCACTAAATTCTTTCTGTCTCCAATATGGACTTCAAGACCTGCTGACTGAGCAACTTCAGATGGTCACTTGTCCTCAACACTACCTGAGCCACTGTTACCTGTGACCTTAATGAAGTCCCCTGGTCCCTCTTGATGTTGACAAGTGTTCCCTGGCACCAACTCTCCCTCTAGCCTTAATCTAGGTTTACCAGTGGAAACCGTCCTCATCTGGTCCCCTTTCCTTTGCCACAGCAATGAGTCAATAACTCGATGAGAGGTTTCAGCCACAGCTTGAGAGAACAGATGTTTAGAATCACCATTCTGTACTGATAAAAATCAGTATGGCCGCTAGGCGTTGGTGGCGCACACCTTTAATCCCAGCACTCAGGAGGCAGAGGCAGGAGGATCTCTGTGAGTTCGAGGCCAGCCTGGTCTCCAGAGCGAGTGCCAGGATAGGCTCCAAAGCTACACAGAGAAACCCTGTCTCGAAAACCAAAAACAAACAAACAAACAAAACAACAACAACAAAATCAGTACAGCGATGTTTCTGCCCCAGTCTCCCTTAAGCATAGTACCAAGTCTCTATGAAAACAGAAACAGGAAAGTGTAGTCGGTAGAGCCGAGAATAAGGATGCATTACCACCAGTAATCCCTTGACTAGCACAGGTTTTTCTGATGGCGGTATTACTGACATAATTTGCACAGCACAGAACCATTCTTTTAAGGTGTATAAATCACCAGTGTTTAGCATATTTCCAGAGTTGTGCAATTGTCACGGCAAGCTAATTTTCATACATTCTGGTCACCCCTCATGCGATCCCTACACCCTTTAGCAATCACTTCCCTTTACTCACCCTCTTGCCCTGACCTTTTTTTCTTCCTGTCTTCAGAGATTTGACTATTCCGGACAGTTTGTATACTTGGGATCAGATCACACGTGTGACAAGGTTTTAATCGGGAAAAATGAAAACCAATTTCTACACCATCATATAGACCGTGTATTGAAGCTTTGGCTGAATTACACAAATGGCACATGGGACGGGCAAAGGTATGGAAAAGATAAATGTCCCTTATCCCCGAGTGTTAGCCCTGCCACTGGCCAGATTTTCCATGCAGTTACTCCAAATCATCCCTCCCTGGGCTGTGGCTCTGTCACCAAACAGAGTCAAGGAGGGCTCTTGTAGCTCTGAAACTATGACCTTAAGGGAAAGTAGACCCTACAACAATAAAAGTGGTGAAGTCCCATCTAATCTCATCTGGTAAAACAAGCACAGGGGAACATCTGATGGCTGCGGTTGTGCTCTGCAACCTGTGTGTGGGTTTGCCAGCCCCCAGGCACAGTTCATGTGTTACCTTCTGACAGAACCTGGTCGTTAGCCCATCCTCTGCCGACTCAGCAAATTCCGTCCAAGGCAGTTTTTCTCGTGTACAAAAAGCAAAGGGCATATCTGTAAAAAAGAGAGAAAGGTTAGAAATGAATCACACGGTCCCTAGTGAGTGTCCTGAACCCAGAACAGGCCACCACTGGGATCTTTCTTTTCCTGGGGACAGAGAGACCTCTTCAGAAACAAGCTGTTTGATGATACTACAAACATTTGAAAACTGCTGGGCAGGAGGCACATGCCCAAAGATAAAGGCGCTGACTCTAGGATCTCTAGATAAACCTTGCCAGGGCTTTAATTCAGTGGAAAGATTCCATTAAACTGTGTTTTGTTTGTTTATTTGGTTTTATTCTGCTATGTGTTTCTGTGAGGGGGTGCTGAGTTCAAACTCCGGTCTTCAGGCAAACTAATCACTCTAGCTAGCACCACACTTCTGCTTTTTTGGTGCTAAGTATTAAACCCAGGGCCTTATGTATGTTGGGCAAGTGCTCTACCACTGAATCCCATCTCTGAAGCTAAAGTCGCTGGCTTGTATTTGCTTTTCCCCAACACGGGATACATACACATATAGGAACGGTAGAGAATGTATGTCATCCCCATACATACGATGCTCACAACAGCTCTTTTCAGGTCAGAGGGATCACATTGGTTGTGGACCCTGGGACTCTCAACTGTGTGTGTATGATGTTGTTTTACTAGCCCGGGCACGTCTGATGGACTCTAATAATACAGTTATCTTTATGTCTACCACTGGGCTATGCATACTGATCTCTCGCCATGGTTAAACATGTCTTCCTTGTCCTGGAAGCAGCTTGGTTGGAAGGGCATCCATCCAGCATACTCAAGGCTTAGCTAGAGTCAGACTCCCCACTACAGAAAAACAAATGCTCTTCACTACTAGTCGGGATGAGGGTCCTGCTGCATACTTCCTGGGAATTCTGGGTTCGCTCTCTTCATTGTTCACACTCTCTGCCCATTGGCCCTGGTTGTTTCCTACTGAGCAGTTTGGTGTGTTGCTATTCATTTGTTTTTTCTTGATTTGAAGTACTGCACGTGTTGACTGGGCCCATTCAGGTTTTTTGTTTGTTTGTTTGTTTGTTTGTGTTTTGAGACAGGGTCTCTCTGTGTAGCCTTGGCGGTCCTGGAACTCTACAGACCCCTGAACTCATAGAGATCCACCTGCTTCTGTCTCCCAAATGCTGCACCACTGCCCAGCCCCATTCCGTACTCTCTAGCTTCCTGTCTTACAGAAGCCCATCTCATTTTGTTTTAAATTGACCAGCCAAATGGATGTTTGCTGTTGCTCTTCTGGTTCCAAACTGACACACTTTGAGAAACACGTCACCCCATGACGTGGCCTGGTTGTGTTTAGCTAGCATCAGCATGGAGTTCGTGGCCTATTTAGGAATCATGACAATAGCCAATGGTGACCAAACATAGGGCCTTCCATAAGAATGGGCAGCTCAACTCTCAGGCCCTGCAAGGCTGGTGGGATCCTTTTCCTTTCACATCAAACAAAGAGAAGCAACAACTTTACATTCCTCCCAGTCTCAGTAAGCCTGATCCGAAGGCTACATCCGAGCAAGCATGCTACAAATAGCACTGTCAGCTACCCAGCTACACAGCAGGCAAACGATGTCGCCAACAGCGTCCAGGAAGCCTTGGTTCCAGGCTCAAGATTCCCTAACGTCCTTTCAGTCCAGACAAGAGAGCTATTTTAAGGAATACAGCAGAAGAACTGCTAATAACAAAAATATTCCCTAATGACCACTAATTCTCAGCTTCCAGAACATAAGAAGTGACTTAAGTGTCCCCGGAGAACAGTACTTCCCATGCTGATTTCATTGCAAGTTGTTAAGGGTTCCAAATTTCTGTTTCCCTTTGAATGGTTTCTTTTCCTGTATACATAAATATCCTGATGCAAATAAATTTGCCAAAAGAAGATATAGAATGGAGATTAAAGGAAGCCAGGGGCTACAAAATCCGAGCTTTTTTTTTTTTTTTTCAACTAGAGGAGGAAGGGTTCCACATTCTCAGATCTAGCATTGAGTCAGCCTCATGACTGAGATGTTACATTGTTCTTAAGAACTGCTGGCCTAGAGGAAAACATACTGATTACACAAGACAGAGTGCTATACTCCTGGTATCTTGGGCTCAGGGGCTAAGGCAGATGGTCCTGAGTTTGAGACCAGCCTGGGCTACAAAGAGAAACCCTGCATCAAAAGAGCAAAGCTGATGAGATAGTTTATGGTCTTGGAAGGTGTAAGGTGTATTAGTTACTTTATCATTGCTGTGATAAAAATATAACCCTAAACAACTTACAGGAGAGTTGATTTTGGCTTGCAGTTCCGGAGGGAGAGTCCATGATGGCCCAGGAGGTATGGCAGCAGGTAGGCAGAGCAGGAAGCTGAGAGATCACATTTCTGATCTCACAGGAAGCAGAGAGAAAGAGAGAGAGAGAGAGAGAGAGAGAGAGAGAGAGAGAGAGAGAGAGAGAGAAACAGGAAGTGGGCCTAGGTTGTAATTCCTCAAAGCTGGCCTCCAGTAACCTACTTCCTCCATTAAGGTTGTACCTTCTAAGGTTCCTTGCTTCCCCAAACAGCACCAACAACTGAGGACCAAATGCTCAGCCTTCTGAGCCTATGGGGGACACTTCTCATTCAAACAACCACAGATGGCCACACTAACAGGACAGGGTACCAACACTGCCTTAGGGAGTCCCCAGGGTCTCCCAAATGAGGAAGCACCTCTGCTAGGCATTGATGGTTGAGCATTAATTCCAGAACCAATAAAACAAAGAGTTGGTTATATCATCCAGCATTTGTTTTAGTGGGTTTTCTTTTTTGTCTTTTTTTTTTTTGTCTTTTTTTTTTTGTACATTGAGGATTACTGTAGTCACTGTAGATAAGCTGGGCACAGGGAAGTGGGGATCCAAAAAACAAACAACAAACAAACAAAAAACCCAACACATGCAAGCCATGGCTCCCCGAATCTTAGAGTCTAATGGACTCTACAGACAAGAGTCAAACAAGAGTGGAGGGATCAATGTAGCAAGAACAGGGAGAATAACATAATGACCACCATGACCTTTGTCCTCTGTCTCTTCTTGGCAGGAGGGTAGATTTTTTTCTAAAGAAACTGAGCAGTCTGAAGGAAGTCATCAGGAGACACTAACATTGGAATTACCTACGCCAGATCATCCTTAACAGCACTCAGAGAGTTAAGTCTCTCCCTGAAAGTCGTAGTTGAGTTTCAACTCTTTAGTCCTCAATCTTTACAATATAAGCAGATGTAAGGAAGGGGGGCAGCTTAGAACAAGAAGGGACCACACAAGCAGACAAAACGTTACTTAATTTTAGCAACCTTGGAGGTAAGAGAAGATGTCGCAAACACGGGACAAGATGGAGGTGTGATGAAACAAGGACTTTCAGAATAGAGGGACTCCCACGAATCAGGATATGACAACAGAAAGGAAAGAATGAGGGCTGGGGAGCTGGCTCATTGGTAAGATGCACGTTCTTCAAGCAGGAGAGCCTGAGTTTGGATTCCTAGGGTCCGTATTAAAAAGCTGAGTGTGCTAAGAGAGGTAGGGACAGAGACAGGCAGATTCCTGAAGCTCGCTGGCCAGAAATCTAGCCAACTTGATGAGCTCCAAGTTCAGTGAGTGTCCTGGCTGGCTTTTTGTCAATTGTCACAACTTAAGAGTTATCTGGGAAGAGGAACCTTGATTGAGAAAATGCCTCCATCGGATTGCCTGGAGGCAAGTCTGTGGTGATATTTTCTTGATTAAGGATTGATGTGGGAGACTACACAATCCTTCGGGAGGTGGTTCTGAGTTGTATGAGAAAGGCTGAGCTAGCCATGGAGAGCAAGCCGTGAAGAGCAAGCCAGTAAGCAGTGTTCCTCCATGGTCTCTGCTTCAGTTCCTGTCTTCAGGTTCCTGCCCTCAGCTTCTGCCCCAACTTCCCTCCAGGATGGAATCTAACCTATAAGATGTAATAAACCCTTCCCTCCCCCAATTGCTTCTGGTCATGGTGCTTACTGCAGTGGTAGAAAGAAATTAACTAATGAAGAAGTTGATACCGTGTTTTGGGATATTTGTACACTGTGTGAAGATGTATTGCTGTCATTGGTTTAACGATGAGCTGAATGGCCAATAGTTAGGCAGGAGAGGATAGGCGGGACTTCTGGGGAGAGAGAGGCAGAGGAAGAATCTGGGCATTTGAATTTTGCCTGCAAACTTGGAGCAAGTTGGACATGCCATACTAAGGAAAGGTAACCGAGCCAACGTGGTAGAATGTAGATTAAAAATATGGGTTACTTAAGTTAGAAGAGCTAGCTGGAAAAAAGCCTAAGCTAAGGAGAAGCTTTCATAATTGATAATAAGTCTCTGTGTCCTCTGTGTCATTATTTGGGGCTGGTGGCAGAAAAAACCCACTATAGTGCCAGGAGTGGGCTGATGCTGTGACAGATGCTGTGTTTTGAAAGAATGTGGATGGCTTTGGGACTTTGGACTAGAAAAGTGACTTCAAACTAGAAGCAGAGCTTATGGGCCATCCTAGTAGGAGCTTGGAAGATGGGGCTGAACTTGGAAGAACCAGCTCAAGAGGTTTTAGTGGAGAGCAATATTAACAACTGGGCTGGGCTAGAGAGTGTACCTGTGATAGTCTAGCAAAGAATGCGGCTGTTTTCTGCCCTTCCATGAGCTTGCCTGAGGATAAATTTAAAAGGAATGGACACATTTCTTTGGTAGAGGAGAGTTCAAGACAGCGCATAATGACTCCGTCATGTGGTTATTAGTAAGCACTCCAGTGCAGGTCTGCGTTAAAGAAGAGAAAGGGGGGGGGGCAAAAAGAAACATGAAATGTACAGCTTGAAAAGTAGAAGGACAAAGCAGAAATGCAGAAGGAAAAGGAGGAAATCCTGGGACGAGGCTAGAGACAGAGCCTAATGAAACATCAGGAACCGAGTATAGAGAGATGACAGAGAAACAGAAATGTTAAGTAAAAATATAAGACAACATTTAGTTTAGGCTCATCGGCCCAAACTAAAACTCAAAATAGCATCATGTGCACTAAAGTTCATGGCACCAAATAACAGCTCAGTCGTTTATTACTTTATTCTGGAAAGATATGGCAGCCAATTTTCCCCAAAGACCAGTCATCCCCTCTGCTTACACACACACACACACACACACACACACACACACACACACTCAGAAGGGCCTCAGGGGTACCCACTCAGTCACCTTTTTAGTCCCTAGTTTACAAGGAAAGCGGCCATGACCTGGCCAGTCCTCTCCAAACTTTCAGTTTGGCTCATCTGAACACTTTCTTTCTCTTTTTCTGGAGAGAAGTGGAGCCTGATTCTAGAATAAAATTAATTAAAAACTCTAAAATAGCTGGAGTGGTGGCTCACACCTTTAACTCCAGCATTCGGGAGGTAGAGGCAAGTGGATCTCTGTGAATCTGAGGCCAGCCTGGTTTACACAGAGTTTCAGGGCTATGTAGAGAGACCCTGTCTCAAAACAAAACAAAACAAAACAAAAAAAAACCAAAAAACAAACAAAAAACCAAAATTAAACCTCTAAGATTACAATTTTTTTTTTGGCAAAGAATAAAAGAATGCAAGAAAACAGAGAAAGACCCAAGAATATATACTGAAGATTCCTCTAAGCATTTAGAATAATAGGGTGCACACATGGAACACCCTTATAAACCTGTAGCAGTATTAGCAAAACCAAAAGACCTACTGCATTCCAGAGAAGAGTAATCAAACCAAAGACAGCTAATGGGTCACAAATCTAAGCAAAGTTGAGCTGGTCAAAAGCACTGGAGGCCAAAGCAACAAACTTGCAAAGATAAAGAATTCCTAACCTAGAATTTGATATTTGGTGAAACTATTAAGCAAGTTGTAAAGACACAGATTTTCATACCCGCAGGTATCAAGAGGCTTATCTCAAATGTGCTCCTTAAATAGAAATTCCTAGGGTTATTCCTAGTGAAAGAAGATCCTGGGCTATTTCTAAGAGGCCAGCAGAGGGTGCAACTAATTCAGACCAAAGCAATTGCAAGCGTGTGGATTCCTTGAGATGAAATTGATAGACCGCTTAATGTGTCTAAAAAGGTTAAAGGGATTTAGAAACTGATAGAAAGTGTAAGACAGAACTTGGATGTAGAACACGATGCAAATTTTAGGGAAAACAAAGTGATTTAGGAAAAAATGGCTTGGCAGAGCCTGAATGGGGATAGGACAGGGAAAGTGTACATGTGTAGAGGACGGTTATGTTTACCGTGGTAAAGGGCTCACAGATGATGCAAAACTGAAAAATTAGGGGACTGGTGAGATGACTCAGTGGACAAAGGAGCTTGCCTGACAACCTGAATTCAACCTATAGGTGCTACATGCCGGAGGGAGAGAGCCAGGTCCTGCAGGTTGTCCTCTGACCTCTACATGATAAAAACCTGTGCACACATGTGTGTGCGTGTATATATACACATCACACATAAATGTCTGAAAAGCTGAAAATTAAGAAGTAACGACAGAAACCAAAGGATAGTCCCAGGGAACCCACTGAGTGTTGAAAGAACACTTTTTTTTTTTTTTAAATTTTTGATACCAGATCACGGACTTGTTTTATTTCTCTGACAAATAAAACCTAACAAATAACATGAAGAAAAGGTACATAGCACCAAAAAATGTATACAACAGAAGACTCAGTCTTATATAAAGAGGACAGCCAGGGGGCCCTGAGCTGCCATTAGGAGGTAAAGGAGACTAGCTGGAAGGAATTCACAAAGGCCAAGAAGGGTGTGAGTGACGCTCAGTAGGGAGCGTGAACTTAGCCTGTGCAAAGCTTGATTCCCTGGGGCTAACAGAGAAAAGGTAACACTGTTGGCTTCTGGTGACTTCACCTGGATCCACAAAGATAGAGGGAGAGGGAAGGGAGGAAGGGAGGGATGGAGACAGAGAGCGGGCTCCTTGGTTTCTAGTGTTGTTAAATACATTGTCTAGCCCAGCCATCTTGGCACACGCTTGTAATCCCAGCACTTGGGATGCAGAGGCAGGCAAATCTCTGAGTCAATGCCAGCCTGGACTACAAAGTGAGTTCCAAGACAGTCAGGGCTATACAGAGAAACCCTGTCTTGAAAAACAAAACAAAACAAAACAAGAAACCCACCACTACTACCACCAACAAACAAGCTGACAGAAGCAAAAAGAAAGGAGATAAAAAAGCAAAAACAAACCCCTCAGGCAGCAGACAGTCCTGAGAGACTGCATAGTGGTTTCAAGGTGGCTGAGAAAGAGTCGGGATAGAGACTTACTCCATGCCTCCTGGAAACAAATAATATTGACTCCACACATGGCAGCCACCTCAACAATAGACTCTATGCGCTTGTGGAGGGCAGAGACCTGGCGATTTAAAAAGCAAGGGTTAGAATACATTCAGTACAATTGGTGAAACAACTTAAAAGAATTTACCCCAGTGCTGATAGAACAACAGAACTCCCACCAGACCATGTGAGAGGAAGGAAGAGGGGGGTGGGGAGTTTAGTGTTTGTCATTTTCAGCAGACTAAAACCTTTCAAGACAGATGGAAGGAAAAAGCAGCTCTGGGCTCCCACAGATATGGACTCGGGTCCTTCCCCACCCTTCACCCTCCCCTTCCTACCTCACCTACCCCCTTGTGATGGAGAAACAGCATCTTTCTCACAGTGTTGCTGAACGGTGTGAATGAATATGGCTGTACTTGCAGTGTGTAGGGCAGGGGTGTGTCCATGCACAGATACACCTCCTCCACACCTCCCCCCCACACCCTAGGCCAGCTGCTTTCAGAATCCAAGGCAGGTCCACCCTGGGCCATCCTGCATTCAAGGCTTCAGTGGTTTCCCTCTGCCACTTCTGCTGTCCTGTACCATCTGGCCTTCTGGTTGGCTTAAATCTTAAATGGACTGGGATGTGCTCTTGGCCAGGGGTGTGTGACTTCCTCCTCACCCCAGTCATCCGGAGGATGTCACCCCATCCCACCTCACACTCTGCAAACTCTCTCAGCCCTCTGTGGACACCCCAGTGGTAGTACTGTTCCTACCGTGGTCCTCTGCCGTTTGTCACTCAGAGGACCCTGTAGGCTCCTTGCTGGTGTGTGTGTGTGTGTGTGTGTGTGTGGGGTATACTTGTTATTTGTATCCTCCACACAATGTCTGCTTCCTAGAAGACACTCAGACAAGTTTGTTCAGAGAATGTTGGAGGAGGGCTAGCTGACACCCCCAAAAGCACGTTTGTTCCTGTGTTCTTAGTCTCTTCCCAGGAGGCTGGGAGCTCCAGTCAGGCATGTGACACTACATTTGCTCAGAGCCATCAGCACGCAAAGCATACTTCTAGGTACAGTCGGGCTGAGAATGTCCCTGTCCCTGAAGCCTGACAGTCTAGATGACAAATTTGTTCACAAACAACAAATCCGGAGAGAAAGGTAAACGGAGAATCACATCTTGTGTGTGTGTGTGTGTGTGTGTGTGTGTGTGTGTGTGTGAGTGTACTCGCTTTTGGGATCAAACCTACAGTCTCACATATACCAAGTGAATATCGCTGACTTATGCCCTCGTCCCTGTCATCTTTTAATAGAACTGGGACTGTGACTCTGTGCAATAGTGCTTGCCTAGCAGGCTGAGTCCCTGGGCCTTTTCTCCAGAAACCACACACACACACACACACACACACACACACACACACACACACACACACACACACAAAGCCATCAAAGTTCCAGCAAAACCCTTTCTTTTAATACCCAGCTGTGACCAGCTGTATTGATGTGGGATGTCCTTCTGTATGCTGCAAATATATATGTGTGGCTTTAATTGGTTGATGAGTAAAGCTGTTTTGGCCTATGACAGGGCAGAACATAGCCAGGCGGGAAATCCAAATAGGGTTATGGAGAGAAGGAGGGGTAGAATGAAGGAGATGTAGTGTAGCAAGACATGAGGTAACAAACCATGAGCCTCTGTGGTAAAATGTAAACTATTGGAAATGGGTTAATTTATATGTAGAGCTAGTCAGTAAGAAGCCTGAGCCACTGGCCAAACAATTATAATTAAGACAAAGCCTTGGAGCTATTACTTGGGAACTGGTGGGTGGGTTGAAAAAAACCTCCAACCGTACTGTATAAATAAACCACTTGCATCTGTGTCATGGTGTTTTAGGGAACTGTAAAATATTACCACATCGATGAAAGAATGTCTACCCTATTCTCATAACCTACGGGACTTTTGGCAAACAGACGTCTGGGCACAGTGAGCTCCTGGCTTTATGATAAGCAGAGAATCATGGGTATGATAATGGTGAGGGCATCCTGGCAGAGGTGGCCTTGGACAGGAAGCATCCTGGGGAGCAAGCTCCAGCTGTCAAAGGGGGCACGTTCCTGGTTGGCGAATGAAAGCTCAGGTCGGGAGTGGTAAAAGTGGCTCAAAGGTGGGTGGAAAGATGAGGAAATTGTGAGAAGAAGACAAAAGGAAGAAGCAGAAGAGCTGGGGACAAGACTGGAAGGAACAAGAAAGGACAGAGAAGTGACCCAGCCCTTCGGGTGTCTGGGCTACAGACCCCCGGGACAGCCAGCCAGTGACTGTAGGAGCCAGAGCCCGAGCCCGGTTAGATGCATATTGTTAGAGCCTGCACCTGTTCTGCCACAGGGGTGGACGTGGGCAGCGGTATTCTGTTCTGCACGAGCCCCACACGCACGATCTGGGGGCATCTCCGCTGCTCCTTGGCTGCTTCGAACGCATAGCCCTTCAATTCGAAGTTTCTCTCTGCTGCAGTTTCTAGAGCTTTTCTGGGCAGATCAAGCTTCCTGAAAAGGCAGGAGAGAAGAGAAAGAGGATTTTGAAGAGTCTGATTTATTTACACCCCGCCCCTTCCCAACACAACCTGGGTGTGTGTGTGTGTGGGGGGGAATCAGAGATGTAAAGTGTGGGCTTAAAATTGGTCCCAGCACTGACAAAAATTCCCCTGCCTCTCTGTAGCTGCTTATCAGATAAAGAAGAGTGCCATCTGTCTACATGGTCAAAAGACCTGTAGGGCGGTAGGGCTGGTATGTGAATGGATACTACACGGGTTTGTCAACAGGGAGGCTCTAGTTCCAGGAGGCCTGCCCGGGCCTGGCAAAGGGAGGAAGTGTTAACTATCAGCAGGCTGGTGTTTAGAATTACAGAGGATCAGGGCAAAGACTACAGTCCTAGCGGCCAGCCCAGATAGGAAGGAATTGGCTCCCCCCAAAATGTGTTTGAACCAGGATCAGAGGGCTATGTGGATCCTAGGGTTTGGGCCAGCTGTGCTACCCGAGAGGGGATAGGGGGCTCAGGAGACAGACCTGACGGAGGCCAGGAATGGCTAAAAGAGAGAGAGAGAGAGAGAGAGAGAGAGAGAGAGAGAGAGAGAGAGAGACAGAGACACAGAGAGACAGAGAGAGAGAGAGAGAGAGAGACACAGAGAGAGAGAGAGAGACAGAGAGAGAGACCTGTACTCATTTGTCCCTCAGGAAGCTGAGTTTCAGGAAGTCAGCTCAGAGCCTTAGATACTTTTTCAGCCAGCTCCATACCTGGTGCTGGGTGGGAGCTGGGTGGATGCCTACTGGGTGCTGGGTGGGTTTGACAGGGTGCAGGTGTAAATGCTTATCCACATTTGTGGTTCATCGCTAGCTGCTAGAGGATCATTCACCTTCTACCACAGAGACTATGGGTCAGGTCAGGCAGCAACTACCTCCTGGTGCCTGCTGCATGCCCAGGCCTGGGGTAAAGCCCCAGGGGCACAGTTCACGGCCCAGGGCCAGGAAGGGCTTACCATCTAAAGGCAAAATGATTATGAAATACCAAGAACACATCAAAAAATAACCTGACAGGCATTACCTAATAATAATATTTCTCTCCTACTTGAAGTCAGTCTCTTAAAGACATTTCTTTCAAAATCACAGCCCTGTCAGCCCAAGCCCCCTGTCTCCACCCCCTGGCAGGAGCTTTCCCTGACAGCTGTGAGTTGGGTTCCGCCCCTGACAATCAGCCTGCTTTTCAAACAGACAAGGCTCCCTTTCCTCTGGCAGGTTAGAAATAGCTGCGGTGCCCACACCTGGCCTCTCCTCCCTGTGACTGCCTCAGAGTCCTCCCACCCTTGGGTGGAGGGGACCCTCTTGTGGGTGTCTGTCCCTGAGGATGGTGAAAACAGCCCCACAGCTTCCCAGGAGTTACACACTGAGGGCATGTGGACACCGTGTCACAGGGAGGAGGAGGAAGAAGAGGAGGAGGATGGCTCTGTGTGTTGGTTTCCCCAAGGCCCAGGAGTCAGGTTGCCCCTCCCACAGCATCCTGTGGGCTCACTCACTGGTGGACATCTCTCTCAATCACAGCCCACAGCTGTCTGTCTTCCGAGCACCGCCATCCTCTGTGTTAATCTCCCCTTCCTCCTGAATTCCATCTCAGTCCATTGCTGCCCCCACCTCTGCCTTCCATGAGCCTGAGCACGTGATCATTCCCAGCTCTCTTCCAGCAGACACTCATCCCCCTTGGGCCTGAGGGGAGGCGGGCCAGGCTGCCCATACTGTCCATCTGCCTTTGGTATGGGGTTCTGCATCTTTTTGGTGACCCCACCTATTTTTCTGGTTACCGTCTGTAAGATCTCTCTGTCGCTCCCCTGCTTCCATGCAAGATTTCCAGGTTTACACTGGAGGCGAGGGTCTGATTGGGAGGAGTCTTCGGGACACCGCATGGACACTGTGAATGACTGACTGTGCTCCTCCCATCATTTGAGATACTGAAATCCTAACCCCTAAGAGGGCCTAGAATCCGAGTAGCTGGTGAGAGCAGATCCCCTACAAATGGCCTTAACACTTCTATTAAAGTCCAGGATAATGTGGCTTGCCTCTTGACCACACATTCACAGAACAAGAAGTTACAATTTATAAATCCACCAGACTCTAACCCTACCAATGAATCTCGAAGCATCTCAAGGCAATAAATAGATTTCTCTGAAAAGCTACCCACTTGATGATTTTAAAGCCCAGAAAAAAACTTCGATGGGCCCTGATCAGTCATAGCCCATGAAGGAGTAGAACCCAGACGATAAGCGTTTATTCAGCTCTCTCATACTGCATACAGCTGTCTGTCCCTGTACTTGAGTGGTTCTCAACCTTCCTAAAGCTGGGACCTTTTAGTACAGTTCCTCATGTTGTGGTGACCACCCCCCCCAACCATAAAATCACTTTGTTGCTACTGTACAACTATAATTTTGCTACTGTTGTGAATCATAATGTAAGTATCTGATCTGTTGAGAACCACTTCGGCACTTGCTTTCAGGTCCTCTGCCTCTCTTGCTATGAAGTAGAATCTCAGCTCTCCTTTCCTTACCCCCACTTCGAGGAGGAAGGCTGGTACTTCTCATCCTGGCTCCAACACACACGCTGCTGGGTCCCTCTCTGCTTACTAGGGTGGAGGCAGGCCTGGCCTAAGCCCCAGCTTTCTGCCTTCTCAGCAACCTCTCACTTTGGGAACTTCATCTCTCTTCCTGTAGTGGGTCTTTGCCCTTAGTTCTCTAAGTCACTAAACTGGAGCACTGCAACAAGGGAAACATGTTTATGAAGGGGGGGGGCGGGGAATGAAAACCAGGTCTTCTCCGAGCTTTAGTTCCACACCTCAAAGGCAGCTCTCTTAATGCTGTGTGTGTCTTCCAAAGAGGCGCGGGCAATGACAGATGCAATGGCAGTGACAAGTGGCAAACGTAACAGCAGCATTCTGCATTCTCTGCTCTTCATCTTGCCTGTTTCGTTTGATAACATAGAGGCATGGGGGCAGAATGGTCTTTCTATGTGAGAGGCTGCATAGATTACTTCAGTCCCCTATGACTATAGTGGACCTGGAAGAGTCCCATCAATCACCTCGTGACATCCTAGTTGTCATGACATGATAGTGCATTATGTTACTGTGTTTGTAGTGACCCTGATATAAGCACACACAGTATAGCTAGTACAGCCAGCCATATAAAAGTCCAGCATGTACAGTTATGTGCAGAACATAATGCTTGATCATAATAACCAGTTAATAACCAGTGTTACTGCCTTCTGTAAATGATTCGACTTTAAATTAGAATGGACCATGATGGTTAATATAAAGCAGGACACTGTGTCGCACCACTAGCAGCATCATAGCTCATGTTCATAACCCTCTTGAAGGCATCAAGTGCCTGTGTTAAAGGGTTACAGTTTAGGTCAGTGGTCCCTACTTATTGTGCTGGCTGCTTTTTGTCAGCCTGCTGCAAAAATCTAGACGTATCTAGGAAGAGGAAATCTCCATTGATGGAGTGCCTCCATCAGACTGGCCTGCAGGCAAATCTGTGGGGTAATTTCTTAATTGATGATTGATGTGGGAGGGCCCAGCTCACTGTGGGCCATGCTACTCTAAGGCAGGCTGTCACAGGTTCTCAAAGAAAGCAGGTTGAGCAAGCTATGAGGAGCAAGTCAGTAAGCAGCACCCCTCTGAGGCCTCTGCATCAGCTCCTGCCTCCATGCTCCTACCCTGTTTGAGTTCCTTTCCTGACTGCTTTTGATAATGGACTGTTATATAGTTGACTTCCCTTCAGGCTTGACTGTGAGCTATAAGCCGAATGAAACCCTTCCCTCCCCAAGCTGGTGTTTGTCATTATTTTTATGACAGCAATAGAAAGAAAACTAAGACATCTAGCATGTGACAAATCGGCCAAATTCCATTCCTACTACCACAAAAGGAAAACATTAAGAAGGGGAGAGAAGGGAAGGGGAGGGAAAGGGAGGGGAGGGGAGGGGAGGGAAGGAGAGGAAGAAGTACCATGGCAAAGGATTAGTTTACACCATCTAGGTTGGTGTAAGTACCCTCTGTCCAGTAAACACAACCACGAAATCACCTATTTTGTGATGACCACGCTCCTATTGATAAACAGCAAATGATACACAGTCTCAATGTTCTTCCCAGTGTTCATAGACCCATCACACTCACCACTAATGGTGACTGGGTCTCTCCCATTTAAAGAGCAGAAGACGGTGAGTCTGTGCACACCCGCTCTCCCCTTATCAGGACGCTTCCACACACACCCTCATCTTGGTTCTTTGTCTCTCTCTTTAGCCCCATTCTCTGGCTCCCACATCTTAGGAACCACCCTGCCTTTTCATCACTTGAGTCAAAACTATCTTCGTCTAACAGACATCTCTGTGTCATCTGAAGTCACTTCCCTGTCCAACTTGGAGTCCTCCCACCTATTCAGTTGTACCCCAAATTCTCTGCTTCCTCTGACCTCTTTAACATACATGTCTCTAGCATTCCTTTTGGATTTTTTTTCCCATGCTGTATTTGCTCTTTGTCCCTCTGGAATGACCCTCTGAGCACAGTTCCCAAGCTCCCAGAGATCCCTGTGAGACCCTCTGCCACACAGCAAAACAACCACTGACATTTCCACCTGAGACCTCATGCATGCCTATAGGAGACTGAATGTGGCCACATCTTTTTGTCATTTGTTTTTAGGAGATCTGGTATTGGACACACACTTGGCTATTAAAATTAACCATCACAAATGAAAAAACTGGTATCCTTTCTAAACAAAGTGATCAAGGGTTGAACCTTTAAGCCCCAATAATGTTGCATCCTATCATATTCACTGAATAGGATCTCCTGTTTTGATGACTTCTGGTGAACAGTGAGTCCATTTTCTTCAACAGTTCCCACTCATCAAGTGGTAACGACAGACGTTTTACCACGGTTGCTACTGCTTCCAGAAGATTCTACCAGACAAAGCTGTTGGCAGTCTTCTAGTGAAGTCCCTATTGTGGCTGACCAAAGAGCCCTGCTTTGGCTGCCAAGGCTTCATTCTGCTCAATATGATATTCCTGAAACCTCACGGATTTTCTTCGTGTCATTCCTTAATATTTCTATAAGAAATGTCCTGAACATTCAGGTTTCACTTATCTTGTGAAGTCTTTGACACAGTCAAGAAAGTGAGTTTCTGGTCTGGCAGTGGTGGGAGCACACCTTTAATCCCAGCACTCTGGAGGCAGGGGCAGGCAGATCTCTGTGAGTTCGAGGCCAGCCTTGTCTACAAAGTGAGTTCCAGGACAGTCAGAGATGTAACACAAAGAAACCCTGTCTCGATCCCCACTCCCACAAAAGAAAGAACTGAATACTAAAGTTCCCAGGAGCTCCTAAAAGCATTTGGTGAGATTCTGATATCTGTGTGGCCACATTCAGCATTCACCTAACATGCAGGAGACCCTGAGTTTGGGTCTCAGCAACACCACCAAAAAATAAACAAAAAGTATATCCCTCCCAGGGCAGGAACCCTATGTTCCTAATAGTTCCTCCAATGTCCTAGGCAAAAATAAGTGAGCAACAAAAGTTGAAGGGATTAATGAGTGCTTCTTGGTTCTGTTCTCTGGGGATCTCATCTGCCTGGTATGGGCAACACTCACTCATGTAGCTCTCTCACTTGACAAATATTTACTAAGCATTGTCAGCCCACTGAGCACAGCAACAAATCTGGAGTTACGATGATTTGGGGAAGTAGCCGTGTACAAACTGGCTTCTGAGGAACACAAGAGAGTTAAGTGGGAGGAGTTTTTAAATATTTTAAAGACAGAACCATTCTCTAGCTTCAGCTGGAAATTCTCCCCAAGAGCACAAGAATTAAGCATGCCTGGTCACACCTTAAGAGATAAAATGTGAAAAGGCTGTCAGGGAAACAGGACCCAAGAAAAGAATAGAAAAACAAGAGGGGGCCCTTGTTCAGTAACTGGGAGCCAAGCCCCAGGGTTAGGGCCTGACAGTCACAGGTTAGCACTGGTTAGCATTTTAACCTCCATTACAAACATGCCCTGCTCTGTGGTTCTCCAAATGCTGATACAATCCCTCTCACTTGGTAGTCATTGACTTGGCCTCCCCTCTACCCAGAATGTGTAACTATCACTTTTGTGGGAAACATTTCTGTTTTCATAATGTCCTTCGATTTTACCTCTGATGCCAACAGTTATCAGTTTCATGATAACAAGCTCACTTTACCTTAAAACAAAGCAGTTGCCACCCTAGAAATTGGGCCAGGATACTCCTTGCTTTAAGGAAATCTTTGGGAGTTTCAATTTCAGCACTTCTAGTGTGACTAATTTGCTGCTGCTGTTGTAGGGTTTTGTATGGGGCTGTGCAAACCTAGGTCTCCAGCATGCCTGGCACGCCACTGAGCTACACTGCCCGCCCACATGACTGACTGGTCTTGTAAGTACAGTATAAAGTAGAGCATTTGGGGGTCAGCTAGCCCTTCATAGCTTATGGAGAGTTGTTTTGTTTTGGGGGGGTTATTTTGTTTTTTTTTTTTTTTTGGTCAAAATGCCAATGAAGTTGTTCTACCATCCACTTATGGTAGAGTTATCAGATCGGGCTTCCACTGGAAGGTCGCTAGGACCCACTGATTTCATCAATTCTCTTTTGCTGATCAAGGTCCTAAATACAAGGTCACAGGCACATGGAGAGGTCATGGAGCAAACAGGCTGGATTGAACAGGCCACTGTGAGCAAGGAAGTGGAAAGAGGTTTAGCAAGGTCAGAGTCTATATTTCATTCTAACAGCGAGAATTCTCCTTACAGGGTTTAAGCAAAGGACAAGGACATAGTCCATTTAGAGACAACTTTCTGGTTGCTCCAGAAAAACTGGCTTGAAAAGTAAGTCCTGGAGCGGGGTATTTCCCCAGCTTTGTTATACCAGATGCCCAACAGCACTACTTTAAAATAAAAGTCTGGCGATCCTTTGCCAGCTTGCCCAGAGTGGTGAAAGTTATGCTGCCAATTCTCTTGGCTTAACCATCCAGAAGCTTCTTAGCTAGTTTGATTCAGCAGGCCTCCATCTCCAAGATGCTAGGTCACAGCAGAAGGAGAGAGCAGGGGACCCTAGTTGGAGGCTTTGGACAGACGACCGCCCCCCCCCCCCCCCCCAGAGAAAGCTGGGATCTGGGTCAAAGCTAGTAACTTACAGAGATCAATTTCTTTCCTATTTTGTTCCACACAAGGTATGTGCCAGGTGGTAGTGGGGGGGGGTGCTACAGCAGTTTGTAAGAGGTCACCCCTAAAGGCTCTCGCCACAGTTCCATCTATGGCCTCTGCCAGCCTGCATGATTCTTCATCACTGGTCTCACAGAGCCATTCTTGGCCCAGAAGCCCTTCCCTTGCTCCCCAAGTCCACAGATGGTGGCTACAATCCCGCCCCCTCCCCAAACACAACCCCTGGATCCCTGACCTAGTCTGCTTGCCATAGAGAATTCGCTTCACCTCGCCCAACTCATCGGGCGGCAGATGCTGTTCCAGGCACTGCTCCAAGGACTGCCACTCAGGTCCCGCCATGGCCAGAGGCTGCAGCTTCTTCTCCTGTCCCACAGGAATGTTCCGCCTGTTGGCCCCAGAATTGGGAGGAGAAGCCGGTGGAAGGCTGGCAACTCTCCAGCAGGACTGTATTGGACTACTGGAGGGGAGGAGGGCCCAAGAGCACTCGACACTCTCCTCATGTCTCTGCTGACAGCAGCCAATCCGTGCTCAGGACCTCCATAGTGACACCGCCCCGCTGGCTCTCCACCAAGTACCAGATTTGGCCAGACTTGCCTTCTGGACCAGTGTGGGCCACAGCTGGAGGCTTTCCCTGGCAGCTTTCCCTACCCCAGGTGTCCCCTCTGTCCTCTCTCCCATCTCTCTTGCTCTTGCTCATCCCTGGAACTCTCCCTCTCCTGCCCCAGGTATAGCCAGAGATCTTTGATGGGCCATGAGTGGGGCCTGGGCTGAGGGGATTTGACCTGGGTCTTGGTCCACAGAACAGTGCAGACCCCCCCACTCCCCATCAGGATGCTGATGAGCAAGAAGCAATACTCTGGTGTCTGAGTAAATTTCTGAGGCCAGTCCAGAGTCCTGGCGCTACAACCATGCCAGGCTTTTGGTTTCCTTTGAGTCACAGGTCCTGTGAGTCAGGCAATATATCCTCCTATCCCAGGCACTTCCCTGGAGTCAGTACTGCAGAATCCTGGTTCCCAAGCAGGGACTCTCCCTCTGTACTCCCGGGTCCCAAGCGGGGACTCCCCTTCTGTACTCTGATGCCATCTGGGAATCATGTGTCCACGTGGGCGCTTTGCCAGCTGCATTAGACTTTTCTTTTGCCAGCTGCATTAGACTTTTCTAGGAGGAGGTGGTGGTGGTGAAAACCCTTCTTGCTGTTCCCTCTAACCCACAGATGCCCCATACTTGGGAGCTAGAGAAGAGTTCTCTTACAAACCTCCAGTGAATTAAGAAAGCCTAGTCAGCTTGCTCCAGACCGAATGTCGGGGGAAGCAGTCCCAAGACCCTGATTTAGCTCCGTGGCCTGGGGAGCTATCCTGGTACACCTGGTCATCTGTTGCTTTATCTGTGAACTGCGATCCTGTGACTAGTTTACAGCCTTGCTGGAGTTTAGTTCAGCCGTAGAGCACACAGCCTCCTTGCTACAGACCCTGGGGAAGAGAGGGTGGGGCTTAAGATACTCGGTTTATCACGTCTTTCATGTTATCTGACAGTTTCTAGTGTCTTCCTTTTTCCAGAAACTCAGGGCTTTGTGTGTGAGACTTCACAGAGAATAATACGAAGACAGGTGAGAGTTACCTTTTCTCTGTGATTTGAAGTGGAGATAAAGATATAAAGACAGCCATCCCTCCATGCGTAGGTCCCACAGATGCCTATTCAACCAACCTTGATCAAAACATTTCCTCCAAGTTGTGCCCATTTTGAAAGATCTTTTTTCTTTGCATTATTCCCTAACCATACAATGTGTCAGTTGCTTAGATAGCATTTACATTGGGTTAGTGTTCATCTTAGTTACTATTGTTGTGATGAAATACCATGATCAAAAGCTACTTGGAGAGGGAAGGGCTTTTTTCACTCATATAACAGTCCATTATCAAAAGCAGTCAGGAAAAGAACTCAAACAGGGCAGGAATCCCGAGACAGGAGCTGACGTAGAGGCCACGGAGAGGTGCTGCTTACTGGATTGCTCCTCATGGCTTGCTCAGCCTCGCCTTCTTAATGGAACCTAGGACCACCAGCCCAAGAATGGCACTACCAACAGTGTGGGCTCTCCTTCAAAAGTATGTGGTTGCTCACAACAAAGAACTGGGCTCAGCATCCCTCAACGTCAGCAGTCATCTGTATCTTCAGGACCAGTTTTTAATGAATTTTCTTCCAGCCTCACTTGCAAAGCTAAAGTGTCTTGCTAAAGAGAAACACCTGTCTAGAACAAGGACAGAAAATGACCCAACACTGGATGCTCTTTGCTTTCCATGTGAGCACTTGCTCATTTCATCTTGGAATTGCCTGTTGTTGCCCTACTCACTAGAAAGCACTAGTTTGTTAGTGAATGGTTAGAAGTCTTGGTGCTTAGGATAGTAGAGAAACTCCATCTAGTCCAATCGGTGATGGTATCATGTCACATTGGGCTTGTTGGTAAGGACAAAAAAGCTATAGCTGCCATAGGAAAGGGGCCGACTGTATCTGGGAGGGGAGGATTGTGTTTCATCAGGAAAGGCTTTTGAAGGGGAGGAGGAGACTAGTGGATGTGTTGTTCAGAACACTCTACCTCCCCATCTGTACCTTCCATTGCAAATGCAAACCAGTTCTGTCCAGTGGAGATGCAATTGTTCATTGCATTGAGTAATTTTGAATTCACCTGTAAATTACTTCGCCTGGTTTTTAACACCCTACTGCTTCTCTTGTTGAGTTGAATAGCATGCTAATGACAAACTACTCAAGATCATCCTATGTGACAGCTGTGTTCATTACATATTTAGTTGTTATTTCAAGAGCAGTGATCCTCAACCTGCCAGGTTTGTAACCCCAGCAGTGGAAGACTGAGATGAGATGATTAATACTTGGGGGTTAGCCTGAGCTATATAGAGATACACTGTTTCAAAAATATAAACATACACACACATTAGCAAGAGTAATCAACTAGACAGTTCTTCCTTGCTGATTACTTCTTTATTTTTATTGGTTTCTATTTTATGCTTATAGGTACTTTGCTGGCCTGTATGGCCATACATCATGCATGCTGTGGACAGAAGAGGGCATCAGATCTCCCGGAACCGGAGTTACAGGGGGTTGGTAAACTGCCTTGTATATGCTGGGAACTGAATGCTGGTCTCTGCAAGAGCAGCCAGTGCTTTTTTTTTTTTTTTTTAAGATTTATTTATTTATTATATATACAGTGTTCTGCATGCATGTAAGGCTGCAGACCAAAAAGAGCACCAGATCTCATTACAGATGGTTGTGAGCTACCATGTGGTTGCTGGGAAGTGAACTTAGAACCTCTGGAAGAGCAGCCAGTGCTCTTAACCTCTGAGCCATCTCTCCAGCCCATAGCCAGTGCTCTTAACCACTGAGCTATCTTCTCCAGCCCCGTGGGGTACTTCTTAAATTCAGGAATTTATTTGTAACAACAAGGTTCACCTTCCAGTGGCCTTTATACCCTTCTCAATAGCCTTTGGGTTAATTTTTGCTTCTTTGAGATTTAGGTTTTCCTTGTGGTAACCAGGATTTAGAAATACAAATGTGGGACTAAGGATTGCTTATGTTTGGAGAAAATGATTAGGTTGATAATTTAAAGAAATAAAGGCTTTTTGAGAAACTAACAAATGATAAAATCTGAAAATTATACCTGGCAGTGGTGGTGCATGCCTTTAATCCCAGCACTTGGGAGGCACAAGCAAGTGGATCTCTGTGAGTTCAAGGCCAGCCTGATCTACACAGTGAGTTCCAGGACAGCCAGGACTACACAGAGAAACCCTGTGTCAAAACAAACAAACAAATCTAAAAATTATTTTATGTATACATGTTATATATTAAGTCAATATTCATGTTCATATTTATAAGCCATTAATGTGGCTATCAAAGTTGTCTAAGAAATGAATGAGAGTTCCTGAATTAAAAAAGACATGAGCCCAAATACTTTGCAAGGTTTAAATGACTCAGAACAAAAATCTTAAGTAGAAATGACTTATTTATATTGTCTTGTTTGCTCATTTTTAGAGGTAATCTCACTGGAATTGGTTTAGAACTTGCTATGATGGCCAGGTTGGCTTCCAACTGGCAATCCTCCTGCCTCAGTCTCACTGGTGCTGTTATGGTTAAGTATGTTCCAGGATGCCTGGGATTATATTAGTCTAATGAAAAGCTGTAGGAGGCGCAGAGGCCCTTATGCTCACAGATAAGCACTAGGGAATCCAGGAATGATAAACATTCAGGCTTGTCTCCTCAAAGAGAGAGTTGTATAACCTGTTTTCTGCCCAGAAGGCTGGGAGCAGAGGTAGTTAATAGCCTGGTGACCTTTGTCCTAGCTGAGCCATCCCAGATCCTCCCTACTCATTTATCATTTGCTTGCTTTTCTCAGTTAATTTACAGAGCCTATCTTTATGGAAGATGTCACATGAACTCAATCTATAGAACCCATCTTTATGCAAGATGTCACATGTGTACTTTACAAAGAGTTTCGATGTAGTCATGTCTTACGCTTTACTGTGCACATGGGATTGAGCTAATTATCCCAGGAAACTCGCCCCGCCCCCAAACTGTGCCATGCTTAAATGTGCCTAAAATAAACTGCTCAGCCAAGGTGGTCAAATACTTCTTCAATGAATACTTTAAAGCATTGAAAAAATAAATTGAAGGAGGTGCTAAAAGATAGAAAACACTACCCCATGCATAGAATTAATATTTTGAAATAGCCGTGTCACCAAAAGTGATACAGAGATTCAGCACAGTCTCTCTCCATCAAAACTCCACTGACAGAACCAGTGAGATGGCTTAGTGGTAAAGGCACTTGCCATCGATCCTAACAACCTAGCTTCTATCCCAGAACCCACACCGTGGAAGGTGAAAACGTTCTCTCTCACCCTACACAGAAATCAACTCAAAACGAATCAAAACTTCAGTTTTGATTCAATCAAAACTGATTCAATCAAAACTCCAGAACTCTTCTTGAAAGTGCTAGAAGAAAACACGGGCAGAAACTTTCAAGATACGAGTATAACCGAGAACTTCCTGAAAAGAAACTCCACTACCACAGAAAGTACCCCAAGAATTGACAAACCAAAGAAAATAATCGTCAGAGGATGAAACAGCCCACAGAAGCGCCAGGTAAATAGACGGTCTTTAAAAGAATGAATACAGATGGTGACTACTATTAAAAAGGTGTTCTATATACTCAGGCACCGGTAAAGCTGCTTGAGATTCTCTCTCCCAGGGCAGAATGGCCACCATTATCAAGAAAACAAAGGCTTGGATTGCTTGTAGGAACCCCTTCTCTACTCCAACTCCATTTGCTGGAGACGCCACCTCTTGGTGTGACCCAAAGTGCCCCCCATAGGCCTTACATTCCTGTCTCTCCAGACCTATTTTTTGTCCTACTGCTTTCAGAAGCCCCTCCTCCCAGCCCTTGCATTCCCTGGGGACAACCTGTTGGTGCTAACTCAGTCT